TTATTTATCTGGATGAAATGATGTAACAAAGTTGCTGGTACGCGTTATTTCATGCAATGAAATTTTTTTTAAAAACCTGCGTAACTCTATGCGCTTGAACTTGTCAGCGCTTTTTGAATCTTTTTCTAGTAAATGTGTAAATTTAATACAGTTACAGTTTAGGATTTCTGACAGATTTCAAACCAATTTTGTGAATTTAACAAATGCTTACAAATTTTTCCATTTTTGATGTCAAAATAATCGCTATGATGAGCTGAATTCAAATAAGTAAATTATAACCCATTGTCTCGCTCGCTAAATTGTGGCTCCAGGTACTTCAACTTCCTACAACTTTTCGATCGAAGAAATGGTGGTATATTTGAACTAGTAAAGCTTTCAAATGTGAATCCATTGATTTAGAAACCTGTAATTCAGCTGCTAAAACACTAATGCCACAAACAAAACGAAAAACACGCGATTTCGCGTGTTTTTGTTTTCCTTTGGAAAATTAGCGCAGTTACTGTACTTTCCTAAGTAACACCGATCACTGGATATTATCGCGCGATAACTGGGCGATCCTGAGCAGCAGCACAAGAGCACAAATTTATGCTAAAGCAGGCAAGTGCCGATTTCTGTCTTAACTCAACCCAATAGTAATGTCGTGTTTAATTCTTCAGAGTTTGGCTGTTTTTGCAAGTAAAACTTATGTTTTGAGAAGTGGCTAGCGAGGCGAGTGCGCCAGCGAGATGTGTGACCTTAAAAATGAGAACTCGGCTTTTTAGAACGAAGTGCATCTTTCTTATGTATTCTTTGCAACGTTCCGAGTTTCTGAAATTTGATAGTATTTTCCTAGTTTTCATAAAATTATTTTGAACTAAACAACATAAACGGTGAAATGAATGATACAGCTGATTCTACCAATTTCAAATCAAATTAATCTAGATAACTTGAAAAAGAACATCAAGTACGCAGGCACTTTGTGAAGCATTCGTCAATACGCAGTAAAGATAAAATCGGCCAAGTTTTCATTTTTAAGATCTCCTTGATGTACTCGTTCCGCGTAGCATTAAGTACGGATTTACTAGAAACTAGGTTGAAGTCGGGCAGAAATCGGTGTTTGCCTGTTTTAGGGCAAATCAACGTAATGTATAACGCTCGCAATCGACCGATATCATCGCGCATTACTTTCGGCCGGTTAGTGTCAACAAAGTATGAGTATTATTCCATTGAGAAATTGTAGATAGGATGTTGTGCACATATATCATGCATACTGGGCTAGATTGCGTCCAACCTCAGCATAATGTTTCAAAGTCATTTGATCCAAACCTCAATAATCGGCTACCTGAGGTTCCTGGTATTCCTCATCATACTCGTCATTGACTTCTTGGACAGGTTCCACTGTTAGGAATGTAACCTTAAAGTATCACATCATTGTGGTATGCTTTGAAAAAGTTGGTCTTCGATGGAACGTATGACACATTAGCTCCAGCTAGAGAATATTTGAGGATGTATATAAACTTATGACTGTTTGAAAGTGAGCTA